TCCCACGAAGGGGCGCCCGTTCTCGGCAGCCACCTTGCCGGCAGCTTCCCATTTGATCAACAGATCTTCATTGGGAAGGGCGTCCTTGGGAAAGAACGCGAGGCCGATCTCCTGAGCGCGCGTGGCGCGATCGTAGGAGAGACTCTTCTTGCCAGGCGTTTTCGTCTCGCCCTGGCTCTTCGCGAACTCGTTCATAGCCTTGGTGAAGCCCTCGGCCGCGCTCGAGGCAGTGCTGCCCGTAGCCTCCTGGGAAGGTTTGGTCTCCTTGCAGCACTTGTCGTGGACGCGGAGGGCGTGCGCGAGCTTCGCCGGCGTTGCTTTCACGGCCTGCCAGCTCGAATGATTACCCTCTCCAGTGAAGGGCGCATCATTTACCTTGATGCTCGATTTCACCAGATCACGGATGACTTCATCCGCGAAGTCACCGGGGTGGACGCTGCTCACGGCTTCGCTCATCATGCGGGCCACAGCCGTATACCACCGCAGATCGTGTCTGGCCTTGGGCTCTGCTTCCAAGCTGAGCACGAACTGAACCCATGTCTCGCGTTGCTCTGCCGAAGTGTTGTTAAAAGCATTCCCCGGCATTCCGTCGAGATCAGCCTGGATTCCCCCACGAGAGAAAGACACGCTGACACGTGGCAGACAGAACAGCTGTTCAGTGGGCTGATTACCGAAGCAGCACGCAGAAGTGCACCACGAGAGCACCCTCAGCCGGCGGCTACGGACATGGAGCGAAAGAAACAATACCCTGGGAGCATGGCACTCAGAGCGGTCTTCCGCTCTCCCTGCAGACATCGACTTCATGGGCATCTTCGCAGACAGGCTCGCTACAACTTCGGAAAGGGATGCCACTGAGCCCCCGGAGGCTCGACCCCGGCCGCGCGCCCCTCGTCGGAGGCGACCCCAGGCGGCGATAAGAGATGGAGCGCCGCTTTTTCACGGCGACGATGGCAGATGCACGGGGGGCTGCGCACATCCCGTACTAAATGGACAGGCAGCCGCCGCGCGGGAGCGCTGAGTCGCGCTCAGATTGCGAATCTGGGTGCGCCCTGGCATCAGAACGCAGAAAGGAGCTCAGGATGCAATTCTGGGCGCGCGGGCGCCCAGGAGCGCTTAGTCGCGCTCAGATTGCGAATCAGGGTGCGCCTGGCACCAGAGCGCAGAAACGAGCGCAGAATGCAATTCTGGGCATGCGGACGCCCAGAGGCGCTCAGATTGCGAATCTGGGTGCCCCTGGGCACCAGAGCGAGAAAGGAGCACAAAAAGCAATTCTGGGAGCGCGGGCGCCCAGGAGCGCGAAGTTGCGCTCAGATTGCGAACCTGGCTGCGCCCGGTTACGAGAACGCAGAAAAGCGCTCAGAATGCAATTCTGGGCGCGTGAACGCCCAGGAGCGCTAACTCGCGTTCAGATTGCGAATCTGGGTGCGCCTGGGCACCAGAACGCAGAAGGGAGCTCAGAATGCAATTCTGGGCGCGTGGACGCCCAGAAGCACTCAGATTGCGAATCTTGGCGCGCCCGGGTAGCAGAACGCAGAAAGGCGTTCAGAATGCAATTCTGGGGCGCGCGGGCGCCCAGGAGCGCTAAGTCGCGCTCAGATTGCGAAACTGGGTGCGCCTGGGCACCAGAACACGAAAATGAGCTCAGAATGCAATTCTGGGCGCGCGGACGCCCTGGAGCGCTAATTCGCGCCCAGAATGTGACAATGGGCGCGCCTGGGCACCATAACTCAAAAAGAAGCTCAGGATGCAATCCTGGGCGCGCGGACCCTCGAAAGCGCAAAGTCGCGCACTGATTGCGAATCTGGGTGCGCATGGGCAGCAGAACGCAGAAACGAGCCCAGAATGCAATTTCTGGGCGCGCGGGCGCCCAGAAGCTCTCAGATCGCGAATCCTGGTGCGCCTGGGTACCAGAACGCAGAAAGGAGATTAGAAAGCAACTGGGCGCGCGGACGCCCAGGAGCGCTAAGTCGCGCTGAAATTGCGAGTCCGGGTGCGCCTGGGCAACAAAACGGAGAAAGGGGCACAGAATGCAATTCTGGGCGCGCGGACGCCCAGGAGCGCTAAGTCGCGCTCAGATTGCGAACCTGGGTGCGCTTGGGCACCGTAACGCAGAAAGGAAGGAGCACAGAATTGCTACACTGGGTCAGCGGACGCCGCCCGAGTGCACAGTCGCGCACAGACTGGCCGGCACAGACTGGGAATGGCAGGCGGCGAGGACTTAAAAGAGAACGGCCCTCACGGCTGCAACCACGCACCACGTTCCACCACAGGCGGCGAGGGCCAGCAAAAGAGTGGCCCTCACGGCGTGGTGCGGGAACGGCGCTCAGCGGCACCAGAAATGCACTCAGCAGTGCGAGCATGGCGCTCAGCGGCACCAAAATGCACCCAGCGGTGCGAGTATGGCGCCCAGCGGCACCAGGAATAGACTATTACCTGCAGGTGTAATTGGCCTTCAACCTTGAACAGCATAGCACCGGCGACGAAGGACCCACGAGCAAGCCTTCAACCTTGAACAGCATAGCACCAGCGACGAGGGACCCACGAGCTCCCATCACCAGAGGCCTTCGACGCGCCTCGCGTGCCCTCGAGGAGCGGACTCCCAATCACGGCTCCCGCCAGCTCCCGCGGAGCCGCCAAGCGTGCGAGGCAGGGTTACCTGCTCAGGAGCACGACGCAAGGCAGATACGCCTGCTCCCTCAGGAGAGCACCAGGCATGTGAGACAAGCCTGTTTGTCACTAGTTGGCACCTGTGCCACGAACGCAAACCCCAGAAACCCCCAGAGGCCAAGAGGAGAGGAGTGGATGATGACACGCTCCGTCGTCATATTTTCCTGCCCCCCAAATCGCTTCGCGATTTGGGGGCTAAGAAAAAGGACGCGGCTGGCTGGCTGGCTGGCTGCGCCGAACACCCAGAAGGACTTGTTTCGTCAGCGGCGAAGCGGCGAACTCCGCTCCAGCGAAAAGCTAGGAAGGGGCACGTACTAGCGATTTGGCCGGCGGGCAGAGGGGGGGGGACGGCCGAGAGGAAAAAGGGACGCTCAGACGTCGAAGAGTTCGACGATGAGCTGCCGGGGGGGCAACAACAGCCAGGCGCGCAGGGCCAGAACGTGGTGGGCACACATGGAAGGACACGTGGGCAGAAGAGCACGCGATTGGAAGCTCTTCGTGGCAATGCAAGGAACACCTTGCTCAGTGATCCAAGGTGTGGCGTGCTATCTCAAAAAGGGTTCCGAATGCCACCGCGATTCCTTGACATGTTGCACTGCGCAGAAACGGCAGAAGCGTAAAGTGTTGAAGATCCGAACGGGTTTCTTTGATTTGCGCTGGGCGCCCTTGGCGGCGCCTCTGGCGCATTCCCTGGCGCGCTCCGCGCGCCTGGGAGGGCGGCGCATCGCAGATTCAGGAGATTCAGGAAATCCGCGCGGACCGTTGAACAAACTGTATGTGTATACCGCTTTTTCTCCTTCGAATGCAGTTTCCTCCATCGCGGACTCCAGGGCCGCTACTTGGAGCACCGCTGGGGGGGGGCGGGGGAGACAGAGGGGTCCGATGTGGATGCCGAGGTGGAGTGCGCGTGGCCCAACCTGGCTTACAAGTGGGTTGCAAGTGGGCGCAGCCCATTTAATTAACAGACATACCAACACTCCATTAAGCAACTGAGGGCATGTGTCCCCCTTTTGTAGCTCGGGTCGGGCAGGCACAACCCGCATTCGCATCCACTTATATACGCCCCCCATTCCATTAGCAGCCCTCGCGGTGGTCAAACTATCAGGCCTAACACAAATAACTCTGAAGCGAAGAGCTGCGGCCGCGTTTGCTTAAAAGGTATACGTTGCCTAAGAACGTAAATATAATTGCGCGCGTTGTTTTACGGGGGAAAAAAAAACGCCAGACTCCTGGGGTGGGCCGCTGTTTCCTGAGGGGGAGGGGGCGCGCTCCTGGACCCCCTCGCGCCGTGAAGACGTCACTGACCGCGGCCGGAGGCTGTGGGGGCCTCCCGGGGCCCAGTGAAGACGGCGCCGGATGAGAAGCTGGGCCCCGGGAAGGGCTCCAAACCTCTGCGGGCCGAGACATCCTCCGAATATTCTTTTTTAAGTTCCACGCTTTGTCCGCCATGTTCAGCGAGGCGCCCTACGGCGGGGGAAGGGCGCCAGCAGGCGGACAAAAATCCGCCACGAGGCCAATCCACAAGAAACCTCCCACGAGAAACCCAGCCCTGGGACCCCAGGGCGTCCGTGGACTTCTGGCGCGGGAGCGCCGCGCGTTCCGTCGCAAAACCGTCGAAACCCGAGAAACCCAGGGCACCGAGGAGGCAAGCAGGGAATTTCTTGGCATGGGCCTCCACTGCATGCGTTCTTCACTCGGCGGCCCCTTCCCCGCGAGTCGCTGCTCGTCCTGGGTCCGCCCTGGATGGCCCCGGGGACCGACGACGGGCCCCAGAGGCCGAAGCCCCTCCCAAAAAAGCGCTCTCCGACATTAAAACAAATCCTGCCGTCGGAGCTCTGGGAAGCCGAGTTATGGCAAACGCTTTCCGATTCGGCGTTTTGCCATTGGGCGGAAAGGGGGGGGAGGAGGGGGTCTGGCTCCGGACCTCTGCTTGAGGCGACTGCCTGCAGTGCGTCCCGTGGGGAAACTCCACCTGCTCGAAAAAAACGCCATAAACAGCCAAGATCTACTCCATGGGCGGGGTGCGAGGGCCCGCGCCGATCGGCAAAACTTCTAGGGTCCGAAGCGCGGATAGCGGAGCAATCCAAAGCGCGTGAAACGCCTCTGGGAGGCGCTTGCAAGGACGCTGAAAAAAGGATGTCCGGGGAGCTTGCGAGCTCGAGAAAGGAGCTTCGCAGGAGCTCCCGAGGAGTCTCGAAGGAGCTGCGGAAGGAAAGGCTTCTGGCATGCGTCTTGAGAGCGAGCAGGAGAACGCCTCTCGGGCCAAGCTGCAGCTTCAAGCCGGGCGCTGCGGCGCTGCTTGCCGGGCAACCCTGTGCTGCCGGCTTCTTATATCAAACCCTCTCAGCTCTCCCAGGAGCTATCCGGGAACAACGAATAACAGCCCGATCTCGGGACGAGGCCGCGGCTGCTGATGTCTCGGGTGGCGCGCCCAGGGGGTCAGCTCGATGTCGACGGCCTCGGTCTCGGAGGCCGCCCGGCGCCCTCTTCTGGGGGGCCTGCTTTCCATCACCACCACCATGAGTTGGGCGGGGGGGAAGGAGGTGGAGGACGAGGAGGAGGCCGAGGAGGAGGAGGACGAAGAGGTGGAGGAGCAGGAGAAGGAGGAGGACCCCCTCCCCCTCCAACTGGTGGTGGTGGTGGTGGAAAACGAGCCCATCATCGTCTGGAGGTGGGATCTTCGCCACGGCTGGACGCGCGCGGCTCGGGAGGCAGGCCAGGGTTGGGCCAGGGGAGAGGGGGCGTCTCGGGCGGAGTCGCGTCGGGGGTTACAGCAGGAGCTCGGCCATAGGAAGCCTTCCACGGGAAACCCAACCCTCAGACCACAGGACGGGTTACAGCAGGCTCGACCACGAGAAACCTTCCACAGGAGACCCAACCCTGAGACCCCAGGACGTCCATTGACTTTTGCTTGTGGTGTGGGAGCGTCACGCTTTCCATAGCGAAACCATCGAAACCCGAGAAACCCAGTGGCCCAGGGGAACGAGGAGGACAGCAGGGTGTTTCATGGCATGGGCTTCACTGTAGAACGACAGAGAAAAGGCGCAAACTGCCTGCAAGTGTCATCTCCCCTATCACCTCGTCGGTCCTTCCCCTTCTGCGGCTGCTCGGAAGATTCCGGCACCCTCCCAAACGCTCTCGACCAGGCGCAGCTTGTACCCCCGACAACTCACGAGAACTCCCTGATCCGATCCTTTAGACGACCGACGTGGGTACGGACATCATAATGGGTACGATGCCCAACAGCAATTGTTGTCCAAAACCGACAGCGGCCGCTGGCCTTCGTCCGCGGCGCCGACAGCGAGCCCTGTTCAAAATGAGCAGCGCCAGCACCCCCCGTCGTGCGCGCCGCCAGCGGGGGGGGGACACCTGCACCAGGCGGCTCGAGAAGAGACACGAAGGACCAGATCAATGGGGGAGGGGGAATCAGCATGGATAGGATATCAAATATTATCCCAGTGCGACCCTACCTAGGAGTTGGAACCCCTAGGAAAGCAGCATTCGTAGTAACAGTAACGCTAAGCTAAAGCTAAGCTAAAGCTAAGCTAAAGCTAAGCCACAGCTAAGCTAAAGCTAAGCTAAATCTAGGCTAAAGCTAAGCTAAAGCTAAGCTAAAGCTAAGCTAAGTATAAGCTAACGCTAGGCTAAAGCTAAGCTACAGCTATGCTACAGCTAAGCTAAAGATAAGCTAAAGCTAGGCTAAAGCTAAGCTAAAGCTAGGCTAAAGCTAAGCTAAAGCTAAGCTAAAGCTAAGCTAAAGCTAAGCGAAAAGCTAAACGAAACGCTAAGCTAAAGCTAAGCTACAGCCAAGCTAAAGCTAAGCTAAAGCTAAGCTAAAGCTAAAGCTAAAGCTAAAGCTCCCAGGGGACTGGGGGGAACCGCGGGGCGGGGACCGGGGGAACCGCCCGGGGCGTGTAGCACTGCCTGGCCCCTTTAAGCTAAGAGAGTAAGAACCCTTCTAGGCAGAGCCTAGGTAGGGAACAATGACATGAACAGACAATGTCGGAGGTCCCGGCAGGCTTAGGATTAAGTCGGGCGTGTCCCCCTACAGAGGGATTTCCGACGAAAAAATAAAGAAAATATCCTAAAAATACCTCCAAAGGATCAAAACAATACCCAACAAATAATCACCTGATTATTTCCCTACCTAGGCTCTGCCTAGAAGGGTTCTTACTCGGTATGCTTAAAGGGCCGGGCAGTGCAAAACGCCCTGGGCGGTTCCCCCAGTATCCGCCCCGCGCTTCTCCCAGTTACGTCCCCTGAGCTTAGCGTTGCTTATCTCATCTTAACTTAGCTTAGCTTAGCTCAGCTTCGCTTCAACTTAGCTTCGCTCAGCTGTAGCTTAGCTTAACTTAGCTTAGTTTAGCTTAGCTTAGCTTAGCGTCAGCTTAGCTTTAGCTTAGTTGTAGCTTAGAGTTAGCTTATGTTTAGCTTAGCTTTAGCTTAGCTTTAGTTTAGCGTTAGCTTAGCTTTAGCTTAGCACTAGCTTAGCTTCAACTTTGCTTTAGCTTAGATTTACCATTACTACTAATGCTGCTGTCCTAAAGGTTCCAACTCCTAGGTAGGGTCGCACTGGGATAATCTTGGACTATGTTTTGATTACTTTTTGGGTATGTTAAATTATTCTTCGTAAATCCCCTTGTAGGGGGACATGCCCGACATGAGCTTAGGACCTGCGCTGGACTCTCCCCCCCTAGAGCGCGCCCTGGGGCGGCGCCGGAGGCGCCGCCCGGGGGCTGCAGCGCAGAGCCGCGGAATCCGCGCGGACCCCCCGAGAGTATACAGGGCAAGGTTTAATAGATCGGATTTGTTTTATATATATGATCTCTAATACATGGTTAATTCATGAAGAAGTCCATGCGTGAACTCATCGTTGCTTTTAATGCAAAATCCCTGCATTTGTCATACATGATCCGCACGCAGAGCATGTATCAAAAAACTGCACTGTATGTTAATGTCAGCGCTTTGTTCCCCGAACGGCATCGACACACATCGCTGGGAGATCGGCGGTGTGCCCCCGATGGCGAGCGCACGTTCCTTGCATAGCAGGAAGGGGCGGTGAGGCTCGATGCAGGCGCGATGTTCCCCCCTCGGTGACTCAATCCGCCGCTCCTAGCCACAATCTGTAAGGCAATCCACGTGGATGAACTCATGCCGGGAGGAGGGAGAGAGAGAGAGAGAGAGCAGGGGAATGGGAGAGAGGGCGACAACAAACCACATACGGCAACTCCGTGTCTCGGCGACTTGCGCGGATTCAGACACCGCGGGGATCGGTCCGCCTTGAGTGGTCGCGGCTTTCCGATAGCGCAGATCGTTTGATGTCGGCAGAGTCTTGGGCCCCAGTGGCGGCATTCAACAACGAGCACCGGCGCTTGGGTCGCCGCCACGTCAGTGCGTCGCGAACCGACTGAAAAGATCTACAGTCGGGGCGACCTAAGGAACCCTTAATAAGGAACGAGGCCCCTTTTTCTCATAAGTTAAACATCGATGTCCCATGGAAAATCTCAGGAAGACCTGAGGCAAACAGTTAAACAATCAAGGAACACCGAGCCCCTCTCCAACAAAAAGGGTTCCTTCTTCAGCGCCCCGACTGTATGCTCAAACAACTTTCGCCTCCCGTGAAGTCCCGCTCAGGCACGACTCCCCCGGCCGGTACAACAGCGCCGTCTTTCCCAGGACGAGCACCACATGAGCGCGGAGCATCTGCGCAATGCGCCCTGCGAAGGCCTCCTTCGCGGCGGGGTCCTCCTCCGTGAACGTGACTTTCACCAGCCTGTTCGTGGTCAACGCCTCGTCAATGTCGAGCAGAAAATTCTCCACATCCATACCAGTCTCGTCTGCCCTCACGAGCGGCATCACCCCCTTACTCTTCCACTGGTTGGCGAGCTTGCGGAGCGCATATCCCCCTAGCCCTCTGGGTGAAGGTGGTCTAGGGGGTCAGTCTGCCCATCTCCCTTCTACCCGTCTGGGAGGCGTTCACCACTGGCTCTTGACCGACACTTCGTTTGCAGCGATCGCTGTGTCGAATCCTTGCGTGTATTCATTGGTTTCGGGCTCGCCCGTGCGAGCGCTTCTTTCACCAGTTTTCTGTGCCTGGTCTTCATTGCAAACAACCGAACAGGTTCCCCTGGGCGCACCACCCCACCCCGCACACACACACACACACATAGACATGCCCCCCCCCCTCAGGCGCCCCGAACGAAGTGGCAGATCCGCGCGGCACCTCATCTAGATCAACAACACCACCTCAACCACCCGAACGGCCGCCGACAACGGCCCATAACCACAGCACACAGACACACAGACACACACACAAATACACACATGCATACATACATACATACATACATACGTACATACATACAGACAGACAGACAGACAGACAGACAGACAGACAGACAGACAGGCAGGCAGGCAGGCAGGCAGACAGACAAATAGACATACATACATGCATGCATGCATACATACATACCCGTGTTTGGCGATCGCGGCCTCGCGGGAAGCGACAAGGCGAAGAAAGTCAATCACAACGAACGGGACCACACACACATATTCATAACTTTATACACACATACATCTACGCATATACAGACGCGCGCGTTCATGTCCTAGCAGGCCCCAGGCCTTGACGAGTTCATGGCTCCACGGAAGTGGTGGAACCAGGCTGGTTTGAACACGAACTCAAGAAACGTCCATAACGCTGAACGCGGTACCGATGGAACTTTCGGTGGAGCTCCCTATGAGCCACGGGACGCTGTACTGGGCGTGGCGGACTCACGCGGGCGGTAGCACTGACACCTTCGGTGGGGCTCCTTCTGGGGCCACGAAGCGCTGTAATGGGTGGGGGGGGCACGCGGGCGGTAACGCTGGGACTTTCGGTCGAGCTCCCTATGGGCCACGGAACGCTTCGCTGGGTGTGGCGGACTCATGCGGGGGGTAACAATGACACCTTCGGTGGGGCTCCCTATGGGGCCACGAAGCGCTGTACTGCATCTGGCGGACGCATGCGGGCGGTAGGACTGGGACTTTCGGTGGAGCTTTCTCAGGGGCCACGAAACGCTGTACTGGGTGTTGCGGGCGCGTGCGGGCGGTAGCACTGACACCTTCGGTGGAGCTCTCTATGGGGCCACGAAGCACTGTGCTCGATCTGGCGGACGCACGCGGGTGGTAGTATTGGGATCTTCGGTGGCTGTACTGTGGCGCGGACGCATGCGGGCGGCAGCAAGGGTACCTTCGGTGGAATTTCTTATGGGGCCACGAAGCGCTGTATTGGGTGCGGCGGACGCATGCGGACGGTGCCACTGGGGTTTTCGGTGGAGCTCCCCATGGGTCACGAAGCGCTGTACTGGATCTGACGGACGCACGCGGGCGGTAACACTGGGCCATTCGGTGGAATTCCCTATGAGGCCACGGAACGCTGTACTGGGCGTGGCGGACGCATGCGGGCGGTAGCACTGGGGGGGAGGGAAGAAGGGAGCGCGGAGCGCTGTCCCTCTCAAAACGAGCACCCAACACCGGATGGTGGGGGAAAAACGAAGCAAAGGGCGTCTGGCGAGAACGGTACCAAATACCGATTGGAATTAACAACCGCTCATTACGATTGCATGCGAATGAAGCCGCATGTTGGCTGAGCTAGACCCACCGCGGTCTCGGCACCTTCGACTGCAATTGGGTCCCGGACGGCGTACCCCATGCCAGTCCACCCGCAACCAAGCTTCGGCATGACGGCTGCGCCCCCAGCGTCTATGTTCCACTCCACAATTATGCTGCATTTCCCTATCAGGGCACGTCGCCTAAAGACCGCTACTGGACGGACTGGATGGGGTTACTTTTTTTTGTCGCAGCCGCCAGCGAAAACGCAAGCGGCGTCAAACGGGACGGGCGGGCCGCGCGCGACCTAATTACCAAGCGCTCCAGCAAGCAGAAGCCTAGGCGGCACCTCCGATCAAAGGGAGCTGAAGGTGGTGCGGGCTGCAGCTGCCAAAATCCAGGTCCAGGAGCGAGCACGAGCAACTTAGCCAACCGATGTTGCGGCGCAACCAAAATGGCGCGGGAGCGATACCAGGATGAGCCAGAAGCGCCATCACGACTGGATGGGGATACGCAAAGCGTCAACAATACCCCTGAGCTGTTCCTAGCCCCCTCCTCCCATCACAAATATATATATATATATATATATATATATATATATATGTGTTTCTACTTTCCGCGATAATGACCGTCACCGACCTCGCCCCCCCCCCCTTCGGTGACGTCACGTTTCACGCCAGCGGCGTCCGGGAATGCCTAGGGATGGCCGAGGCCATGTAGGAGCAGCACGTAGTTGCGATCTGCAACACAGCGTCTGTGTACACCACAGTGCTCGCGTGCACCACACCGCGCGTGTACACCACAACGTCTGTGCAAACCGCCCACAAAGCCTGCGTGCACCACAACACGCATGTACACCACAGCGCCTGCGCACATCGCAACAACCGTGTGCAACGCAGCGCCGTGTACACTACAATGTTTGCGTGCACCACAACGCTTGTGTACACCACGGCGAATATGTCCACGTGTGCAGTGCAACATAGCACCATTGTACAGAGATGCTTGCGTGCACCGCAGCGCCTGTGCACACCAAAACGCATGTGTAGACCATAACACCCGCGCGCATCACAGCGTTGGTGTACACTTCAAAGCCTGTGTGCACTGCACAATGCATGTAGGTCAGGATCTGCTGCAGACAGCTTAACACAACACAAGGGAAGCGCTGATAAAATAATGCGATATTTGACTCTCCTCCCTCTTCCTCCTATTCCTCCTCCTCCTCAATCACCACCTCCACTTCCTCCACCTCCTCCTCCTCCCTCGCCCTCCACCCCGTCGTGTGGGTCGGCGCTACAGCGCACCTCACTGCGCATCATGGAAACATTGTCTGCTGAATCAGTCCACTTGCTTCTCGGACGGCCAACTCTGCAGGAGCCTTCTCGACGCAGATTGATGGGAAGATCAAAGGCCGATTACTTTACAAAAATTGTGGGTGGGAAAAAAACACGATGTCCACCTGGGCCCGCGTCGGAGGAGCGGAAATGCGAGAACAATGGCGCGCGCGGTCGCGCGCGACCCGCCGCTGGCAATAACGTGAATGCGCAGGCGTCGCGGCGACGACGACGGCGACGACGACTGCGGCGTCTGCGCCGACGGTGACGGCGACGGCGGCAACGGCGACGGCGTCGACGACGAACATCGCGGCGACGGCGGCGACAGGGCCCGGGGTTCACGGGCGAACTTGCGCCCCGCCCCCGTTCCCGGAGTCCCGCGCCAGATTGCATGGGTGGAGCGAAACTTCCGTGCGCAGTTTCACCCCAGCCGTCTCTCCGCTTTCCCAAAGTTTCCTTTCTGCCGTCGCAAAACGTCGCTTTTGTTTCGGAATGTGTTGAGCGACGCGTCCTTGCCAAAGCCGCTGCTTCGCTTAGTAGAGCCGCCTCCCCGCTTTCGTAGAGCCGCTTCCTCGCTTGAGTTTTTGTAATTATCACTTATCAATACTAGTTTTAATAATATTACTATTATTGTGGTTTTCATACTTATTCTTATTATTAGTTTTATTGATATTATTATTCGTAAGAATCCGGCACTACTCCTCCACTACTACTCTTCGTAATTATTAGTTATTAGCTTTGTTATTATTTCGGCACTACTCCTCCCACGGAAACGCCCGTTCACGCCCGAAGGAACACCACCACCACTGCCAAACAAAAATGCAACAAATGGATCAAGATGACCTCCAGCATGCCGCCAAGAAGCCGGAAGGCGGCCCCAAAACGGCTCTAAGTGGCAACGGAGCCTCCCAAGGATACCCCTCAGAAGCCCGAATCTGCCTCAGGTGTCCCAATCGTGATTACCTTTTCGAGCAGTCGCTTTCAGCAGCATTAGGGATTACATACGGGCCTCAACATGGCCCCAGCCCAAAACGGCCCCGCAGGTCCCCAAGAGCAGCTCAATAGCGTCTCAGGTTGGATCCTCAATACGACCTTGCGGACCCCGACGGGGGGACACTCCTTGAGCGTACGTGTGATCAAATGTCCCTGGATCAACCCAATAAGCCCATCAGGTCCCAAGACGGAAAGACGACCCCAAGGGTCTCAAAATGTTGCCCAAAGATGATCGCCCAAAGATGGTTCCAAGGTGTTTTGTCTCCTACACTTCCCTGCTCAAGGCGAAGTCACACGGAAATTGGTTCTGGATTAGCTGATGGGGATGCGCGAAGCGTCAGCAATTTCTCCTTGTTGGTGAATTCGGGCTTCCTCGCGCCGGACGGGGCAAGGTCTTCCGTGGAGGCCGCCCATGTGGGGTCCGAGTAGATGAGGTGGGAAGATCACGCTGCATCAGAGATGCATCGGCGACGTCGACGTGCAAAAAATCGGGCTCCACGTCGAGCCGCATCGCCGATGCATCGGCGATGCGGCGCAATCCACCAGCCCCACCTGCTTCGACCCCATTCGGGCGAACTGGATTCCTCGAGGTCGCTGCCTTCGTCGTCGGAGAAGTCGCCCTCGTCGTCGAACTCCCCTAGGCCGTCCAGGTCCTCTGGGCAGGCCCGACACGAGAACGGCACAGAAGGCCACGATTGCGGGCCCCGAGAGTACACACAACCAACACATCGACTTATCTTCCCTCCTCTACCCTCTTCTTCCTCGCCCCTCTCCTGGGAGAGGGAGGGCGTGAGGGAGGTGGTGGTGGGGTGTGTGTGGGCCCCGAGACGCCATACCCATCAGCCAGTGTTGCCCCACACGGGCAGCGGCCGCTTCGGGGCAGGCGACTCGTCTGGGTCCCACGTCGCACGTGGGCCTCGACGTGCGCCCGAGCGTGGGCAGCGACCTGCTGTCGGTCCTCGAAGCTTCCGTCGAGACTTTTCGAAACAGCTACAGTCAAACACCCTAACAAGGACGCGCGGCAAGGACGCGAGACCCTTGGAAGCCGAAGTTGGGATTTTTGGGGTCGGCGGGAGACGAGAACTCCAAGACGAAACCAAGGAAGGACTGAGACGCAAGAGCAAGGAAGAGCAAGGACGCAAGGGTACCCTGAGCAAAGTCGCGCGTCCTTATTAGGGTTTTTGTCTGTAGCCCGCCAGCGCGCCCGCCAGCGCGCCCGCCAGGGCGCCCGAAGCTCTACGAGTCGTTGTCCGCCCGGGCCGGGTCGGTCGACGAGCTCCATCCCGCGCCCGCATTCCTCTAGCTCATCGACGCACCATGTTTTCCGTGCCCGCTTCAGAGGAGGAACGATGCTCTGGATCCATGTTGCTCCCATCGTACTCAAGGACCACATCCCAAGAATGATTTCGAGCACCCGGAGAAGTGTCGAAGGGGTGTCGAAACAGTGTCGAAACAGTGTCGGACGAAAGTCTCCCAGGGCCCGACACGTGAAAACCCTCGAGGTTCGGTACCTGTTTGGTGCTCGAAGTTCTCTGTGGTGATCAAGGCTAAAACGATTTGGACCATCACAACTCTGGATGGGACAATAATCGCCCCCCCGTTGAATCCGCTGGGGGGGTTGGGCGCGCGCTGTCGGCACGGGCGAAGGGAAGTCGGAGGAAGAGGAGGAGGAGGAGGAGGAGGAGGAGGAGGAGGAGGAGGAGGAGGAGGAGGAGGAGGAGGAGGAGGAGGGGGAGGGGGCGGAGGAGGAGGAGGAGGGGGAGGGGGCGGAGGAGGAGGAGGAGGAGGAGGAGGAGGAGGAGGAGTGGGGGATGGGCAAGCTCCGTCGGAAGGTGGAGCACTCCCTCCTCGATTAGTTTCCCACCTAGAGTTGAGTCGGGCGTGTCCCCCCTACAGGGGGATTGTCGACGAAAAATAAGAAATACTCAAAACATACTCCCAAATGGTCCAAAACAAAAACTCACAAAATAATTCCCATACTATTTTGGGGCTATTTTTGAATATATCACTCCTGTCGAGGGACAGGCCCGACTTACACCTAGAGTAGGGGGGGGTACTGGCTCAGGGGAGCAGGACTCGGCCTGGACGCGGCGATGCGTCGCCGACAGCTCGGCCGCAGGCCCCGAGGGCGACTCCGCACGGCCTGGGCGGGGCGGGAAGGCAGGCCCCCCTTGGCGCTGGGCGGGCCGCGTGGGGGTCGGCGCACGGCCCCCGAGCGCTACGACAACTACTTAAAAAGCCTCGAACGTCTCCCTATCCCTGAGATTGGCACGCCAAAAGGCGGTGACAATCTTGGGGACTCGCCCTCCAAAAATGAGGGGATGCCTAAGAGTGGCATCGTGATGAGAAGGTGCCCAGCATAGGGATAGGGATATGTTCCAGGCTGGTAAGCTACGCGGAAATAACAGAAAACTGTATGAAATCAGATTTTGAGGCCGTCGGACTCTTTCGACGCGGCTGTGCGCCCAGCACGTTTACACAGGCCATGCTAGTTACCCCCTCCTGTTCCGCTCGCCCCCATGGGCTCCCCGGAGAAGGGCAGACAGACGAGTGTTCGCCCTCCCCCCTGTCACAACGTTGACCGGTCTCGGCTTTCGGGCCAGACTTCAGTCGGGCCTGCCCCTCTACAGGGGGAATATTCAGAAGGGCCTCCACCCCCGAGCCACATCTGGGAGGCCTAGACTATCACACCCTACCACCGTAGCCCCGGACCCTCACCCGCGGGCGGAAGCCATGTGCACACACCACTGCCTGGCGACCATGGACCCCGAGGCAGCGACTACCCGGGAGCCGGGACGAAACTCTGCTCGCCCGCGCGCGGGCGCGCGGAGTGCCTCCACGGGGTCGCGCCTCCACGGGATCGGGCCTCCACGTCGAGCCGCATCGGCGATCCCTTCCCCGACCGTTGACCCCCGAGGGTCTCAGTTTTCGAGCCAGAGCTCGAGTCTCCGGCGCCCGTCCGCGACGCGTTCGGCACCCACTGGAACGCCCTCGGCGGGGCGCAGCTGCTGGAGCGCACCCCGAGGCTGGAACACGTCCACCCGACGAGAACGCCGGAGCCGCATCGGCGATCCCTTCCCCCGCCCGCTGCCGACACCCTCCCCGTAACCTTGAGAAGTCTTTAGAGAAGCCCCCCCCAGTTGAGGGTCATATTTTTTCGGATGCCTCATTGAAGGACTGGGGTCCCACCAATAGGGGGTAACTACTTTTTTCCCCCGCGGCACCCACCGCATAGGAGAAGCAGGAGGGGGGGGAGGAGGAGGAGGAGGAGGAGGAGGAGGAGGAGGAGGAGGAGGAGGAGGAGGAGGAGGAGGAGGAGGAGGAGGAGGAGGACGAGGAGGAGGAGGAGGGGAGGAGGAGGAGAAGGAGGAAGGGAGGCGGGGGGAGGAGGAGGAAAAGGTTTTAGGTCAAGTCCTGTTCACCGCCGAGGCAAAGGGGGGGGGGGGGCCAAACAGAAGACGCACCGTGGGGGCATTGGATGAGGAATCCTCAAATAAGGATTCCAGGGTCTGGAAGCCATTCTAGAACACCAGGTGGGCCTTGGCCATTGGCATCGCCACCGCCCTTTTCAGATGAGGACTTCTCCAGGGTCTGCCGCCTCCCTGGCACATTCCTTAACGAACGCCCCAACCGTATATAGAGATCACCCACCTGGGAGGAGGAGGAGGGAGAAGGAAACCCGAGGAGGAAGAGGAGGAGGGGGAGGGAGAGGGGCAGGACGAGGAGGAGCAGGCGGAGGAGGAGGAGGTAGAAGAGTGAGGAGGACCAGTGGAAACCCAAGAGTCATCAACGATGATGGAATTAACTCTTCCTCCAATTGAGGGAACTGCCTCGCTGGAAGACAACACTTTGAAGATCCTGAAGCGTGCCAAAACATTGTTCTCGGGATTTCAATGCCACGCATCAACCTGTCTGCTGCGCCTTGGCGATCCAGACTCGTGCCAGAACGCCATTTTTGCGACCTCAACACATCGAATCAACATAACTGTTGCGCCCGCATAATCCTGAATCCTTGCAAAACAGAATTTCTGGAACGTTGATCATGGGAATCCGTGAAACTCTTACAATATTTTAAAATGAATGTGCGCGGCGCCAAAGCGAAAGCCACATTTTGAAAACGACCCACCCTCAATCCGCGAAGCTCTTGCAGTTTAAAGCGAATGTACACGGCGCTAAGGCGAGAGCCACATCTTGAAAAGGAACCCTCAATCGGTGAAACTCTTGCACGTGCTTTAAACAATGTGCGCGGCGCTAAGGCGAGAGCCACATCTTGAAAAGGAAACGCCCTAAATCCGTGAAGCTCTTGCAATTTTGTTTAACGAATGTGCGCGGCGCTTAGGCTAGAGCCGCATTTTGAAAGCGACCCGCACTCCATTTGTGAAACTGCTGCCACTGCTCAAGCTTCAGAATCATAAATGGTGAGGAAGTCTCAAGCGAAACGCCCGGCCCGCCCTAAAAACTGCCCTCGGGGTGCGCCAGGGAGGGGCTATCTATAAGGAGAAGGAATGGAGGAGGAGGGAGGAGGAGGGAGGAGGGAGGAGGAGGGAGGAGGAGGAGGAGGAGAGGAGGAGGAGGAGGAGGAGGGGAGGAGGAGGAGAGGAGGAGGAGGAGGAGGAGGGGAGGGGAGGAGGAGGGAGGGAGGAGGGAGGGAGGAGGAGGAGGAGGAGAGGAGGAGAAGGAGGAGGGAGGAGGAGGAGGAGGAGGAGGAGGAGGAGGAGGGAGGAGGAGAACACCTCCAGATTTACCCACCCCGAGCCTCCAGGCCGTCCACGGCCGAGGGGCCCGCGGCCAGGCCCCCGGCGGGGCGCCGGCTGCCCCGCCGCGCCGGGGGCCGCCCGCCGGCCCAGGCGGCGCCGCCCGCGGCCGCTCCGGCGGCGTCCGCCGCGGCCCAGAGCGGAGAGGGCGCCAACTCCAACTTCCCCCCAGGCCCCCTCGAAGTGTGAAAAATCACGACGCGTCGTGATTTGTCATACTTCGAGGGATTTTTTCGCACTTTTCGCGGGTTTTTTTCGCTCTTTTCGGGCTTTTTCGCTCTCACTTCAGAGCGAAAAAAGCCCGCGGGATTTTTTCGCTCTTTTCGGCCCCCCCTGGGGGCCCTCACCGGCCCTCGGTACCGTCATAACCAACGGCTCCAGGACGAGAAACCGCTCCCTGGGAGTGGGTCCAGGCCGCGGGGGGGCCCACGTCGCGAAACATGCAAGACCTCGGGGGTCTCTGGGTCTCTCCCTGAGCAAATCCCACCGGCCCTTTCAACGCGCGAGTGGCTTCGCGGGTTGCCTCTTCCACATCCTCCCTCTTCCCCTTCGGGGAGGGGTTCGCCCCTGGGTAGACCCCGGAAACCGGAGGCTGGAACCCTGACCTCCGGAGGCTAGGATTTCGCACCTCGGAGTCTGGAACACCAACCTCCAGAGTCGGGGATGGACAGACCCCCCTTTAGTAAAACGTGGTTTAGTGAAAACGACCTGGGGCCTAAACCTGGCGGGCGCAAGCCTGGAAAATAACGGCCGCGGC